TGAAACTGCTGGAGATGCGCCACCTGCCTTTGGCTGAACTACCACCAACTCTCACAGAACAAGACATGCGATTTCTTGCACAATCGGCGAGACTGATAGCGTTCTCCACACTGTGGCGCTGCGAGAGGGAGAGGTAGGGGCGAGAGATAGAGAGAGAGAGAGAGAGAGAAAGTACGGTACATAAATTTTGAAAGTATGCATCGAGGGGAGCGTTTTCCAGCAAGCCATACCCCCTTGTCTGCAGAACATGGAACTGGTGCCGTTCACAGACATTCTGCAGGAACAGGACTGGGCTTGAAAATTCCCGCTTGAAGTTGCGGTTTTCCTTGCCACACAGAGACACCCGCATGGCCCATCTGTCGCAAAAGAGAAAGGCTGTGGGCTTCTTGGAACTCGCGATCCAGCTTGGCAAGAATCCGCTTGCTTCGGCAGTGGCAGTCGTCTTTCTGCGCAGCTCGTGAGCTTTGGGCAACAGTATCCATCGCCAGGACCGGGGCCCCTTCCTGTCCATGGTTCAGCGGGTGCGTGAGCACAAAGCAGGCAAGCAGTCGGTGGAAGTGTTCACGCACAGAGACAAACAGGCAAACAAGTGTCACGTTTCAGGCTGCAAAGGGAAAGAGGCACAAACATGAGTGGTGTTAAGCGCACCTGTGCCGTCGTTGATGCTTTCTGTACTTGACTCACTTGACCTGCAGACTGGGACTGCGAGACTTGAGCCTTGGATGGCTCGTTTTGATTGAATCTTTCGAGTTGAGGACGCCGCAACCCAGAATTTAGGTAAGGGACTGTCCCAACCAACCATGAGAAATTCCATTCTTTCAAGTCACTTTGGTTCGGGCTTTGCCTCCAACTGGTTCATGTACGAGTCCCCAGCAAGGGCATGTCGCTTGCCCTCAAGAGGATGTTTACACTTTTAGGGCCACACTCAACTTGTTTTTGGTGGAGTGAGTAGCCCAAACTAGCTATTGTTTCGCCTCCGACACTCTGGCGCTCTGGCCCCGGCCAGCCGGGCTCTGGCAGCCCGCTCTCGCGCGCTCTCTCAACACTTCACACACGCCTGCCAAACGATAATTTCAATCTCAATTGCGCTCGCTCAGCACTGCGCAGACGCTTTCCAAATTATAAGAACGCCTGTTCAAGATGACGAGAACTGCCCCGCTCACGCACACGCCTGCCAAACGAGAAGAGCCCCCCTTTCAATGCAGTTTCTCGGCGCTGCGCAGACACCTGCCAAGTTGTAAGAAAAGCAGCCAAGCACACTTGCTCAGCATCAAATAGCTGTGGGATTGTGTATTTCATGACTGATATGTTGGGTGTATAATTTTGTGAATGTATTGTGTATTTTGATTTTTAAAAGTTAAGACTCGTTAAGGTTAACCATATTTTGCACTATATCTGGACAACATGCTTGAGACATGTACACGTAGTGTTGACGATGAAACCTGAAATAGGTGAAAATAGTGCGCCTGAGGCCATATTGCCGTTACTCTAGGAATTTAGAAAGTCGCAGCAGCAACATGCTCGTGCGGCCCTCAGGGATCGGCGTGGTCAATGTCAAAAAAACTGAGGACGTTGTGCGATTGCTGCGGTTCTCGGATCGGCTGGTCAATGTCAGAAGACTGCGGACATTGTGCGACGTCTGCGGTTCTCGGGTCGTCGTGGTCGATGTCAAAATATTGAAGACAGTGCTCGGATCCGCATGGTCGATGTCAAAATATTGAGGACATTGTGCGATTTCTCTTCTCGGGTCGGCGTGGTCGATGTCAACATATTGAGGAGTTTGTGCGATTTCTGCTGTTGGGGTTGGCGTGGTCGATGTCAATCTTTTGACTCGGATCAGTGTGGTTGATGTCAAAAAGCTGAGGACACTGTGCCATTACTGCGGTTCTCGGATCGGCGTGGTCGATGTCAAAATATTGAGGAGGTTGTGCGATTTCTGCGGTTCTTGGGTCGGCGTGGTCGATGTCAAAGTATTGAGGAGTTTGTGCGATGTCTGCGGTTCTCGGATTGGTGTGGTCGATGTCTAAAATACCCGAGGAGTTTGTGCGATTTCTGGGTTCGCGGCTCGACGTGGTCGTGTCCAAATAGTGGTGTTCATTCTGATCGCAAGTTTAATTCAAAGCAGTAGAGGCCCAGGGAGGGATAGTTTCCACCTTGCTGCTTCTGGTGGATAAAAGCCTCGACTCGCCGAAGAACCTCGACTTGTCGAAGAAAGCCAGTCAAAAGGGTGTATTTTCAACGTAGCTGAAGATCAAAATTGAATTTTCCATCACAGCCACCCCAAAAAAGGCGCGTGACCTCTTTGCCAGACCCGCTCGATAGAGGGATTTGGGGGGGGGGTTCTACTTGCATTCTTCAAGGGGGGGGGACTTGATTAATCGACGGAGGGGAGAGCTTCATTAAGGGGGGGGCGCGGCTTCATGAATCGAAGGACGGGGCGGGGGGGGGGGATAAATCGACGGGGGGGGGGGCTTCAGGGGGGGGGGGCTTCACAACCCCATTCCCTGCTACCATTGTTCAGTTTTTCAAGTTTCATATCTTCGCAGGAAGGAACATCACCAACCCAAGGCAACCCTCGATGATAAAGTACACCCCCCTAGAATGCAAGAGCCTCCCCCCTTCTTGATAAAGCTGCGCTTGTTCAAGCCCCCCCGCCCTTGAGATTTTCGTGGGGATGGGAAGCACCAACCCAAGGCACCCCCCCTGGAAAATTTGCTCTTCCTTGATGAAGCACAAACCCGCTTGAGACGCAAGGCCCCCCCCGGAATGAAGCCCCCCGCCCTTGATGAAGCTGCGCTTCTTCAAGCTTCCCGCCCCCCTTAACATCTTCCCGAGGGGGGAAAGGGAGGGCGCCAACCCAAGGCAACAACGCCCCCCTTGATTAATTCCCCCCCCCCGCCCCCCCCTGAGGATGAAGTAGAACCCCCCCACCCTTTCCGATCGAGGCGGTCTCCTAGAGCCTGCGTGACCAGGCGAGTCCTTGCCCTTGACACTGCCCTCTGGGTGCGCAACGACGATCTTGGAGTATGCCGGGTTTGATGATGATCGATTTGTGATGTCCATCCTGCTGCATGACTACGGGGACCAGGTGAGCTGAGCGTATTCTGACTTGTGTGTGTGAAGTAGCTCACCCATGCAGGAGTCTTTAATGCCAGGGGGTCAGGTTGCATTGTTTTGGTTTCCAGCAGCCCACCATACCTCAAACCCTCGATATTCCTAGCTTTTTGCGGGTCCAAGAGCAATGTCTGCTTTGGGAGCCCAAAGTCCTCATAAACCTGAACCACCCGCAACTTCTGCTTGTTCAGCAGAGCCCCAAGCCCGCCACCAGTGCACACTTCTGCGCGCAATGGAAATGTCCAAAGTTGACGCAAATTGAAGAAAGGGGGTGGGGGCCTTTGCTTTAGCAGCTAGCAGGGCTTGATCTGCTCCTCAAAGAATCGGAGTGTGAAGGGAACCTCCGCAAAACAGGAAGCGTGATGGCAGCAAGAATTAAGTCTGCCATGGATTCGGGGTCAGCGCTGCCTTGCTTCCGCGTTGGCGCGATTCAGTTTCCTTGCCGTCGCGTCAGCCAGCATTATAGCAATCTTCTCAGGTGGGGGATGCGATGTAAGGAAATTTGAGGCACCTTATCTGCATGTTCACCATTTCCACCCTCGAGGTTTACCTCTGGGACGTTGCAGAGAATAGGAAGTGCGGGTTGGGGCTCCCTGCCCGCAGCTGGGAGCCCACGGATCAGAAGCGCCCCAGCTCTCAGCCCCTTAGCTGGGTTTAGGTGGGGGGTGCTTTCGTTTTGAATAAAGAACTGATGGAAGGTGCCAAGTCTTCCAAAAGTTTGGCTGTCCAGAAAAAAGCCAAAGGGAAGGAAGATGCTCGGGGCTTTCTCTCCGGCCAAATTTGTCTCACGAGGCCTGAAAGCATCTCGGAGGAGACGGCGTTTTGCGGCGATTCCTTGTGCCTTAACTCAGAAGGTTTGGCCCAGAGCGCGATCTTCCCCCAGCGTGCGCTTAAACTTGCTTGTGATGGAATTAAGGTACCTGCGGTCAAGCCTCACATTCTTGAGAGTTTGCTCGGAGTTTTGTGTGGACCCATTGCTACAAGGAACGCGCTGATGACTGGGTCTTGGCAAGGCACTCCCACCAAGACTCGTCACATCTTGCGGAATCATGATCACTCTGAGCGGAAAAGGTGTCACTGCTTACGGAAGTGAAACTGTCACTGCTTACGGAAGTGAAGCCACTACACGCGGAAAAGTATAGGGGTAGGAAGCTCCTTCCTTTCTAAGGCTCCTTTCTAAGGCTCCTTTCTAAGGCTCCTTTCTAAGGCTCCTTTCTAAGGCTCCTTTCTAAGGCTCCTTGCTAAGGAGACCTTCATCACGGCCCCCTTTCAGGAGGGATTGGCTGGGGATCCGCTTTTCGAGCTGGAATGCCGGATTCCAGCTCGAAAAGCGGACCCCAAGACAACCTTCATCACGGCCCCCTTTCAGGAGGGATTGGCCGGGGATCCGCTTTTCGAGCTGGAATGCCGGATTCCAGCTCGAAAAGCGGATCCCCAAGACAACCTTCATCACGGCCCCCTTTCAGGAGGGATTGGCCGGGGATCCGCTTTTCGAGCTGGAATGCCGGATTCCAACTCGAAAAGCGGATCCCCAAGACAACCTTCATCAGGGATTGGCTGGGGATCCGCTTTTCGAGCTGGAATGCCGGATTCCAGCTCGAAAAGCGCATCCCCAAGACAACCTTCATCACGGCCCCCTTTCAGGAGGGATTGGCCGGGGATCCGCTTTTCGAGCTGGAGTTCCGGATTCCAGCTCGAAAAGCGGATCGCCAAGACAACCTTTCACGGCCCCCTTTTCAGGAGGGATTGGCCGGGGATCCGCTTTTCGAGCTGGAATGCCGGATTCCAGCTCGGCGCGGTCCCCAAGACAGCAGCTTCATCACGGCCCTTCCAGGAGGGTTTGGCCGGGATCCGCTTTCGAGCTTGGGATGCCGGTTCCAGCCGAA